CAGTACAAGAAATCCCCTGCAGCCAGCAACAATAGACCCACAGCAACAATAGATCCCACCCCAGCAACAACAGATCCCTCACACAACAATAGATTCCACTCTAGCAACAATAGATCCCACCCCAGAAACAACAGATCCCCCACACAGCAATAGGCTCCCCAGCAACTATGGACTCCATCATAACAATGATGGGTCCCCCCAGCAACAATACACCCCATTCCAGCAACAACAGATGTCCCGCATCAACAATAGACCTCACCCCAGCTACAACAGACCCCACCCCAGTGACAACAGATCCCCCACACAGCAACAATGGACAACCACAACAAAATACAAATAAAAATCCACTGCAGCAACATTAGACCCCCAGCAGCGACAACAAATCTCCCAGCAGCCAGGATCAATAGACCCTCCAGCAGCCAGCAACCTCTCCCTCAACAGTAGATCTCTATGAGCAACATAAGGCCTCCCCTGCAACAATAGACCCTCACACAAAAACAGATCTCCACCAGTGACAATAGATCTCGTGGCTGCCAGCATCAATAATTTTAACAGATTCAATAATTCTAATGTTACAATCCATTTGTGTTTTTGAAGGTATATGGGCTTTATGAAGAGTTGCATGACCATATTGGAAATTATTTCAGTAACACAATTTTTTGTAAGTAATCTAGTCTTTTCTAATCTATTCTATTGTATTCTGCTCAAATTCAAAATCATTCTATTTAAAATTCGAATTTCAGATGGCAGTTATATTCTCTCCTATTCTAGTGTATTGTTTTTCTAAACTATTCTATTCTTTGATTCTCTATTCTATTCTAATCTTTTTTATTAGATTCTAATTGATTCTATTCTATTCCTTTATTTTTCGTTTTATTTTGTTCTGTTTTACTCTATTATTTTCCACTGTGTTCTGTTCTAATCTTTTATTTTCTATTCTGCTCTTTTTTCCTCTATTCTTTTCTATTCTATTCTTTGATTTTCTATTCTATTCTACTCTTTTCTATTCTATTCTAATTGACTATTCTATTCCTTTATTTTCTGTTCTATTTTACTCTATTTTCCACTGTGTTCTGTTCTAATCTTTTATTTTCTATTCTGTTCTTTTATTTTCTATTCTATTATTTTCTCTTTATTTTCTATTCTAGTTTTCAAATTTTAATTTCCTTTTGAACTTGTTTTCGAATTTGAATTTGTTCCTGAATGTGTTTTGAAATTTGAATCAATTCGAATTTTGGTCGAATTGCATTTTATTATGTCAGATTCATTTAAATCTGTTACTATTGTAATTTAAAATTGCCCAGAATAATGGTGCTTGAGGTGATTGTAGCCGTATTAGTGCATTTGCGACAGAAACAATTGAGTACTGTCCGTGATACTCCTTTATTTTAACATAGATACAAGATATATACACAGGGCGGGGCAATACACATCCAGTAAAAAGAAACACATTAGCAGGCAGTCCCATAAGGGGGAAGGGCTGCCAGAAACACCCCCCCACCAAGCCAATACACAAACACATACATCCCATAATAGTTTGCTCCCAAGCAAGACACACAATAGAACAATGGGACAGCCACATGGCATTAAACAATCCACAACCCCCGTCAGGGCTCCCGGGTATGACCAGAGGTGTGTGACTGACGCAGGGAAACGCAGACTTCAGATATGTTATAAACGATGTAATTTATTAACACTAACAATACAAACATAAACGCAGTGCAATACTAAAACATAACACAGTGCAAACAAACCAAACCAACCACCCACAGATAACAGTACATACAATGCAAGCGTCGTCAGGCAGGCCGGGTCAATATCAATCGGCCAGGTAGGTACAGGGGGAGCAAGCGGAGAATGGTCAGGGTCACAAGCCAGGTTCAGCAGGTAGCGGGCAGCGTGGTACAGAGGGTCAGGCAGAGGAGAATGGTCAGACAAGCCAGGGATCAGGAGCAGGAGAATGGTCAGACAAGCCAGGGATCAGAGCAGGGTCAGCAGAGAATCAGACAGGAACAGGAACAGGAAACAGGGCCCAGGAGAAACACAACACCAATGCAGAGTCTGCAGGTCTGAATGTCCCTTAAATACACCAGTATAATTAGTTCCAGGTGTTTGACTGGCTGCAAGGTTGAGTCTCTGATTGCTGGGAGCACCCGCTGGCCAGCCCTGGTACTGCAGCTCATAAGGCAGGCAAGTCCCACTCTTGCTAACCAGTCCATTCCTGACAGTACCCCCCCCCTCAAGGAGCGGCCTCAGGACGCTCCAAACAGTCCTAGCTGGGCAAAATGTTCCACCGCCCGGGTCTGGTAACTGGCGGGATATCAAAGACTGGCACACCGGGCAGGACTCCGGGCTGGACTCGGGCAGAGGCACATCGGATTACCAGGCGAAGCGACGGGCGCCGGGCCCTCCGGCGGGGCGACGGGCGCCGGGCCCCCCGGCGGGCGCCGGGCCCCCCGGCGGGGCGACGGGCCCCCAGGCGGGGCGACGGGCCCCCCGAGTCGTCTGGCGGGACTGCGGGCACCGAGTCGTCTGGCAAGACTGCGGGCACCGAGTCGTCTGGCAAGACTGCGGGCACCGAGTCGTCTGGCAAGACTGCGGGCACCGAGTCGTCTGGCAAGACTGCGGGCACCGAGTCGTCTGGCACGACTGCGGGCACCGAGTCGTCTGGCTCGACGCGGGCACCGAGTCGTCTGGCAAGACTGCGGGCACCGATCACGGGCGACAGTGGACTCTGCTCAATGGCACAGGCGGGAGTAGAGGCATCAGGCTGAGTAGAGGCATCAGGCTGAGTAGAGGCATCAGGCTGAGTAGAGGCTTCAGGCTGAGTAGAGGCTTCAGGCTGAGTAGAGGCTTCAGGCTGAGTAGAGGCTCAGGCTGAGTAGAGGCATCAGGCTGAGTAGAGGCATCAGGCTGAGTAGAGGCATCAGGCCGGGTACAGACCTCAGGCTGAAGTGCGGGTGCCGAGCCACCAGGCTGAACCACGGAAGGCAGGTTCTCGGACGGCAGGCTGACCGGTTTGGATACTGGCAGGATGGTATTGGTTGGAAAGAATTTTCGCTTTTTTCTGGTTTTAACTACTGGAGCACTGCAAGTAAACGCAGGTCTGCAAACGAATGGAGCAGCTGGAGACAGAGAAGAGCTGGAGGATGGGACAGAGGAGGGAGCAGTTTGCTACAGAGGGCTTTTTTACAGGGTTAAAGGCAGGATAGGTGCAGCGAGTGGGAACAGGGTACTGACATGCGGTAGATAGCCAAGTATACTGGGCTGTAACTGGAGGAGCTGGTGGGAATACAGGAGTAGAGTTAGAAGCAGGACTGGGTTTTTGTAAGCTGACTGAGGCTGGGTGTAACAAATCTGTCCATGTCTGCAGTATGGGTTGAACAAAGCTGAGCTTACACAAAGCCTGTCTGACCAAAGACTGCACTGCGTTTATACAATCTCTTAGTATCTGTGGTCAACATGCAGAATAACGCTCCAGAAAGTAACCCACATCATCCTCTAATAACCACACCAGGGACTCTACCTGGTCTGCACTAAATGGTGGCAAAAATTCATCCCTGCATTGGGGGTACCAGATGAAACCAACTCAGCACAAACCTGAATCAATGGCTGCACCTCAGAGAATTCTGTGCCCTGATCTACTAGAACATGAGCGAGCCGTATACATTCTAGCAGTTCATCCCGGGGATACTCCTTCAGAGTCTGATAAGCATACTCCCTGTCATCAAACACTAGCAGATATAAATACTCAACCTCATCCAGATCCATCCTTCCCATCGACAAACCAAGATGGCTTCCCTGTGCAGCCACTTCTGGTCAGGATTGGCCTTGGTGTAATGTCAGGGCTCCCGGGTATGACCAGAGGTGTGTGACTGACGCAGGGAAACGCAGACTTCAGATATGTTATAAACGATGTAATTTATTAACACTAACAATACAAACATAAACGCAGTGCAATACTAAAACATAACACAGTGCAAACAAACCAAACCAACCACCCACAGATAACAGTACATACAATGCAAGCGTCGTCAGGCAGGCCGGGTCAATATCAATCGGGCAGGTAGGTACAGGGGGAGCAAGCGGAGAATGGTCGGGGTCACAAGCCAGGTTCAGCAGGTAGCGGGCAGCGTGGTACAGAGGGTCAGGCAGAGGAGAATGGTCAGACAAGCCAGGGATCAGGAGCAGGAGAATGGTCAGACAAGCCAGGGATCAGAGCAGGGTCAGCAGAGAATCAGACAGGAACAGGAACAGGGCCCAGGAGAAACAACACCAAGGCAGAGTCTGCAGGTCTGAATGTCTCTTAAATACACCAGTATAATTAGTTCCAGGTGTTTGACTGGCTGCAAAGTTGAGTCTCTGATTGCTGGGAGCACCCGCTGGCCAGCCCTGGTACTGCAGCTCATAAGGCAGGCGAATCCCACTATTGCTGGCCAGTCCATTCCTGACACCCCCACCTATACATGTCTACACAATATCAGGACATTTCACCCTGCACCCCTAACAGGCACAGGATGACTTACACACAAGAGGGATATGGGGAGCTGAGACAGGGGTCTCCCCACCTCTCCAAAGTGAGATGGGTTCCATGGGGCCCCCACCCAAAGTCACTCCCGTCACAGTCAGCAATATGTTTAAACTTTGAATTTGTTTTCTATTTCAATTCAAAGTAGATTCAAATTTCAGACTAAATTTTGTTACATTATTTTGGATTTGTTTAATCTCATTACTATTGTAATTCAGAAATTCAAATACATCCGAATCTCCGAAAAATGAAAATTTTGTCCGAATTTTGAATTGCACGTCTACTGCAGATTGGAATAGATAAAATACATCTTTTGAAGTGATCTTGACACAGGAGGTTTTAGTGGCTGGGTTTATGGATAATAAAACTTTACATAATACATTTGTATATGCAAAACACTTTCAATTAAGTCCTAATTTGATTGGCTGATTTACTCAAAGAAATATGGCGCTCTTCTTGCAGTTACGGTTACCTGCGATTTTAACAGACTTCGGATCGACCTTAAACACGGAGCTTTCGTTGATGGCGGACAAGGAGGACAAGGTGACATTGATATAATTCTGTGTGCCATTGATGACAATTAGGAAATTGGCAACAATACTCCCGGGACTCAGGGACAGGATCTGCACCGATATCTGCTCTGGGGGATGTCACCGGAAAGGGACTGCTTTATCTAAAAAAGAGGAAGACACAGAGAACAAGAAGAAAGTGTGATATTTGTGCCATTGTTTTTAGATGAACACACACTCTACACAATCTGATCGTACAATCTCCTTTAGATCTACCATAAAATATGTATTGCTAAACTTGCCTGGTTGGATATGAATTGATGGCACAGATTAGGTAGGTGCTCATATTACATACAGTATGTAGTGCCCCTCTAGATAGTTTATTTAGTGAGAAAGGCTGAATAGCAGCCTGGGCATGAGTCAGCAAGTCAATTTAGGTCAGGGCCGAGGGTTCTGCAGATCTGTTCCCTGATACCTCCCTCTGATCTAGAGGCTTGGAGAAGTCTCTTGAACTCAGTGGGTTGGGGTGAGAAGGGGCTAGCCTGAACACTTAACACTTAAGGAGGCTTGGCAGCCTTTAAGTGTGACAGATCCTGCTCAGCATCAGGAGAGTTCGGGTGGAAGATGGAGTGAGAGGTTGGAATGCAGGAGTCTGGGAAGGGACCCAGTGGGAAAGGCCATACTTCCAGGCTGAGGCTGGAAAAGAGGATCTCTCAACCTCAGCAATCCCCTGAGAGAGGACTGTCATGATCGCATGGTCGCCGCCACCAACATGCGACAATCGCACGACCGCGACTAACAGTAATACGTCACGTCAGACCCCGGACCTTCTCACCAACTCGTGACCGAAGAACCGGCTGATCTAAAACCGCGGTGTGACGCGCGTATCAAGGCCCCACCCAGCTGCACCCTGCACAGCGATTGTCCAGCTAATGGGCTACAATCGGTGCCTGCAGCCTGAATGCACTTGTTACTGGGTTGGGTTAATTATGCAACTAACCCTCTACTGCCACCACCACTTTTGTCGGAGACTGGGAAACTCCCATTATCAAATATACACTATAATGATTGAAAAGTCGCCTGTCTAATATGGTCACCGCAGGCCGATTGGGCAGAGGATTAAACAAACACAGTAGCGTCTCTTCAAAGGCAGGAATTCGTGAATTGCAAGTAAGCGCTTAGAAACAGTTTGACTCTTTTAGTAAAAAATCTTTCTGAAAGTGTTAAACAGGTGCAATAAAATATTTACAAAGAAAATGTAACTATATATATATATATATGCATATAAAAGGTACAGCAAAGAGATAATAGGAAGGAAATTAAAGAGTTAAGTTACTTGCCAATATGCCTTGGTTTGTAAGCAGATCCAAGTGCAGAGCAGGAAGGGTCTTTGATCTCCTCTGTTACGATGTTAAACTCAGAAGATGTGTGTCTTAAAAACGTAGCTTTCAGGCTTGCAGCCTGTCCTTTTTTAAAAATCCCCCTGCAGGGGGGGGGGGGTGGCTCTGAGTCTGCCCAATACAATATTTTGGGCAGGAGGTCAGTGGACTCTCAATTAAAACTAACAGCTTCATACTCCATGATATGAAACATAGGTGACAGCTGACCTGAGGAATGTTCAATTAACTGCTGGTCAGTTTTATGAGGTTTCAACTTCTTTCATGTCCGGGGAGAGGCTGCCTTATCTGTTTTATGATGGGTGAAAAAAGGTTACACTTTCCGCAGACTGCTGGCACCAAACCAGGGATGCCTTCACCTGTGTTGACCCCCCACCATCTGTCACTCAGGAGATAACGTTTGCCTCTCAGGAAGGGAGGGGGTAGGGAATAAGGGCTGAGGAATACTTCCACTAAAAAGAAAAGAGAAAGGGGAACTCCGCGTCCAACTCTGATGAGCAAGTTTGCTACAAGGACCACCTGTGCAGCAGGGAAGGAGCCAACTCAGCAGAAGGCCTGAAGGCAGCCACCAACCCAACAAGCTCATAGGAGAGGAAGAGTGAGTACTCTTACACCCCTTGGGCCGGATAAGGGGAGAGGGCATTCCGTGGGAAACCTGATTAGCCCCCATCTGGGACTGTTCAATCTGAGGAGACAGAGTCTGGGTCCCCTTGCCCAGGTATTCACCCAGTACAGCTGGGGTGATACATCAGGAGAATCTGGAGAGCTCTCCATGAAGAAAACCCTTTTTGCTGTAAAGAGACTTGTACATAATTGCTAAGTAAATGTCCTTAGTTGCAGTTCCCTTGGGCATCCCATACACCCCTCAAGCCCATCCAAGTTCAATACCCCTAATAAAACAAAAAGCTCAAGGACTGTTTACTATCTCCAGAATGCAAGTCTGTGAAAAAATGTGTGTTGCCTGGCTATGCAGGACTATAGTGGGACCCAAATCTTCAGCAACCCCTAAGGGGGTAGTGCTACACATAGTGCTACACATAGTTTTGGTAAGTCTAAAGTTGTACAAAGCTTGTATGGTCAGATTGTAAGATATGGCCAGAATTTGCAAATACTGAGAGAAGAAATATTCTTTTCCAAATGCTACAAAAATGACAGAACATATCTAGGCATGCCAGAGATGCCCGAAAGATATTAAACAATACTTTGTGCAATAAAATGATGAGGACCAGAATGAAAGTGCAAGTATATTTTCCCTCCAGAGTTCCTCCAGAAACATTTCTACTATTGGTGCTAAAGGGCAAATCTGATTATTTTTGAGACGCTAGAAGATTTGGGTCCCCCTATAGTCCTGCACAGGCAGACATCACACATCTTCACAAAAGCTTGCATCCAGAGTCAGAGATCAGTCCTTGAGCTTGGATTTTGTTGTTTTATTTAGGGGATTTTTTATTTAGGGGATTTGAACTGGGGTAGGGTTAGGTGTGTACAGGATGCCCAAGGAAAGTGATAAACTGAGGACAACTTCCTGTAACTATTTACAAGCCTTCTCTACATCACAGTCTCCATTGTAGATGTAGCCAGCATCTCCTTAGTTTACCACCCCAGACCCTAGATGAGCTTATCCTCTTCACCCAGAAATCTGGAGGTATCCCTGAACAGGGGATCCAGTTCCTGGCCCTTTAAGAGATGAACAGTCACTGGCAGGTGGCTAATCTGGTTTCCCAACCAGAGTGCTCCTTTTCCCCTATCTGCCCATTGGGTGCAGGGGTACTCACTCTCCTGTACCACTTGTGGATTGGTGGCTGCTACCAGGCCTATCAGCTGGGCCGCTCCTTCCCTGCCATACAGGTGGTCCTTGCTCTGGAGAGCTCTGGGCCTGCAGGTAGGCCCTATCCCATTGGGCCTCCTCACAACTTCCTTCCTTCAGCCTCACATCCTTCTCTGTCTTCCACCTGAACTCACTTGCAGCGGAGCAGGTTCCAACACTATTAAGGGTGTCCAGCCCCTTGCCCAGCCTTCTGTTGGGGATTGGATAGGACCCCTCAACAGTGAAGCCAGCCACTCTTCAGATCCACCCACTGCCTCTAGAGCCTTCCTCCAAAGCCCTAGATCAGGGGGAAATTCTAGAGGGGTCAGCCTGCAGAGCCTCTCAGCTCCTGATGGCAGATTGACCTTCTGGCTATTAGACCCAGGCTGCTACTCAGCCCTCCTCACTAACAATTAAACACTAGCTCCCCCTAGCTAAGCTAGGAGGGTACTACAATTGCTTATTTGTTGCTTTTGTGGGAAAGGGGATTGGTCACCTGTTCTAATGTTCTTAACATATACAGTCCTTGTTCCATTTGTAATAAAAAAAATAAGATTTTAAAAAGCAAGTTTAGTTTATTTACTGAATAATTTCAAGCATAATACTTCTTCTTTTTTACACCAAATGACTTACAATTTCTAAAACTACTCCACACTGAATTTTTTAAAACATTTTCTGAAAATGTCCATTTTTTTCCAGAATAAAACAGGGAAAGAAATGGTTTTTTTTTCACATGGCTTCAAAAATTTCCAGAAATTTTACATCTCTATCCACCACTATAGGTTGCCTGCATGCAGCTAAGGGGGAATGTAAACCAAGACAGCCTGCATGCAGTACAGGTGCCAGCGCCCGTCTGAACAAAGCCTTACTGCTCCCAACCTCCCACGTGAACAGAGAGATACTGTATAGCTCCTCGAGGGAAAATGCCGCCGCAGCTTCCGACTGCAGCAAAAATGAAACATGTCGCATCTGATGGGTGGTACGCCGCTGGATGCGAATCAATGCAGTGAATGGGGCAACTGCTCTGTAACCCTGTGAATTGGAGGTGGGTTGCCATTTTCAGGGTTAAAAAAGGCGGTAAGGAGGAAGTGACATAGTGGGGGTTATGTTCTAAAACTGGAGAATGCAAAATCTGGTGCAGCTCTGCATAGAAACCAATCAGCTTCTAGGATTTATGGTTAAAGCATAACTGAACAAGCTGAAGTTAGAAGCTGATTGGCTGCCATGCACAGCTGCACCAGAGTTTGCATTCTGCAGTTTTAGTAATTTAAGCCCATTGCCTCCTTACCACCTGTCAAATGCCACTGTGGGTCGCTTTTCAGAGGCAACGTCTGAATGAGCCCTAACTCTAATTTTGATTTTTCCTCACAACAGTCATCGGTACAGATAGAGGGACGTATCTCCCAAATGGAGACACAGACAATCTGACAGAAGGCTAGGTTCACACTTATGAAGTTTGCGTTTGATTCATTTCTCTAGTGCTTTTGGCGGTTTTGCACATGCGTTTTTGCCAAGTTTTTTATGGGTTTTGCGTTTTTTCCAACTTGTTGCTGGGCAGATTAAAACGCAAAAGCCATCAAAAACACATTAAAAACACACTACATGCTTTTCTGCAGTATCTCCATTGAAGTCTATAGAACCAAAAACTCAACGATTTGTGTTTTAAAAAAAGTCTCTGAGCCTTTCCAAAAAACGCACCGGGTGAAAACGCAGAGATGTGAACTTGTCCCATAGGAAAAAATTGGTAAATGGACTGCTGCGCATTTCTGCAAAACACAACGGAAAACGCATAGGTGTAAACGTAGACAAAGTGGAAGTCTGTTCTAAGTATTAAGGCTGGGTTATCATCTACGCAGATTGCGGTTAATGTGTTTTTGCATCGCATTTTGTGGTGAGGTTTGCATTTTTGAACATTCGTTTTGATGGAGTTTTTTAGCTAACTGGAAAGTATGACAGTTTTGTTCATATAGTGCGACTTTGATGCGACTTTACCAGGGGCAGACTGACAACTCATGGGGATCCTGGGGCCCCTGTGTCCTTGCCCAAACTCAAAAAAGCCTATGAAAAAGGTACCAGGGGCATCTCATGGGGCCCCCTACTGACCCCGGACCCTCGGGCAGTGCCTGAGTTTCCAAATGTTCAGTCCGCCCCTGGTATGGAATACAATTTTCCTGGTATCAACATGGCAGCATACTACTGCAAAGAAAGGAAAATTACAGTAAGTAAAAACCTGCAGGTTTTCCGTGAGGTTCCAGTTTTGGATCTTCAGAGTTCCGTTCAGTATTTGTCCATCTGTAATTTTCAGCAAAAGTAATTCAGATACAGCCAGGGGCGGACTGACAACTCATGGGGCCCCCTGGTGATAGAGGATCATGGGGCCCCTGTGTCCTTGCCCAAACTCAAAAAAGCCTATGAAAAAGCTACCAGGGGCATCTCATGGGGCCCCATACGGACCCCGGGCCCTCGGGCAGTGCCTGAGTTTCCAAATGGTCAGTCCGCCCCTGAACTTTACACTCTCTGGCAGTCAAAAATTAAACATGTCTTCCCATGATTAATTTTTGCATCAAAGTCTTGTCAAAGCTGCCCTACATAAACAGAAATGTCACTTTCCTATTAGCAAAAAACAATGCGACTTTAGACATAAAGGTTCCCGCACTACTTTGATGCGATTTTGATGCTACTTGAGGGCCAAAGAGTGTAAAGTCGCATCAAAGTCACTCTGCATGAATTAGCAAAAAAAAAAAAAAAAAAACCTGCAAAAAGGCATAAAAAATGCAGCACTTGTGTTTTTGGCGCAGATTCATTAACCACTCGCCCTCCAGGGGATACCCCCCTTCCTGACCAGGCCATTTTTTGCAAAATGGTGCTGCGTTACTTTAACTGACAATTGCGCAGTCATGCAATGCTGCACCCAAATTAAATTTATGTCCTTTTTTTTCCCCCACAAATAGAGCTTTCTTTCGGTGTGTGTGTGTTTTTTATTTTTTGCCCTATAAACAAAAAAAAGACTGACAATTTTGAAAAAAAAACTAAACACTAAAAATGTGAAAGTTATAGCGTCTACAAATGGCGGTAAATATACTGGATTTTTTTTTTATACTAGTAATGGCAGCAATCAGTGACTTATAGCGAGACTGCAGCGGTATTCTGACACTGTACTAACTGACTAACTGCCACTGACATCAGAGCTAATAAAAAGCACTGACACTGTACTAATGGCACTGGGCAGGAAGGGGTTAACAGTTGGTTGATTAAAGGGTTAACTGTGTGCTGTGTTTTACTAGGGAAACATGCTGCTGTGTATTTCTCTACTGTGCAGACAAATGCACAGCAGCATGTTCTTGCTGGCAGGAGTGTTGTTTACACACAGGTCTCTCCCCTGTCACTGTTACTCGACCATCGCTGGGAGCCGGCAGAGAATCTCCGGCAAGGACCAGGTGATTGACATCAATGGCGGCACGGGTAGGGCAGTGCGCGTGCCCCCCCACCCAGAAATGCAAATCACGTATATATACGTGCAGGGGTGGACAGACAACTCATGGAGCCCCCAGGCAATAGGGGTTCATGGGGCCCCTGTGTCCTTGCCCAAACTCAAAAAAGCCTATGAAAAAGGTACCAGGGGTATCTCATGGGACCCCTACTGACCCCGGGCCCTCGGGCAGTGCCCGAGTTTCCAAATGGTCAGTCCGCCCCTGTATACGTGACTTTGCGGAGCCCTGCTTCCCTGTAGCTATATTTCTGCTATAGGGCAACTGGTTAAAGTCTTTTACATGCAAAACGCAATCTGCTGAGGGAAAAAAGTCCCTGACCCTTTCCAAAAATGCGCCAGCTCAAAGCACACAGATGTGAACTGCATCCATAGGAAATCATGTTAAATGGACTGTAGTGCGTTTCTGAAAACTGGAAAACGCACTGAAATCTGCATAGGGTTAATAAAATAATACTTTCTACTTTGAGGTCAACTCCCTGCGTCTTCGACCTTTTCCAGGGGTGGTGTCTACCTTCTCTGTATCTGGTACACAGCAGGATTCAGGATCAAGTTTCCCAATGGGGGACACCTCTGTGCTGTGAATGGGTGATCATGACAAGGGTAAGATCCTACCTCTGAGATGAATGTCTTCTCAAACTTAGCATAATCTGGAGAAGTCGGATCCTGCAGGTTTTCCGTGAGGTTCCAGTTTTGGATCTTCAGAGTTCCGTTCAGTATTTGTCCATCTGTAATTTTCAGCAAAAGCAATTCAGATACAGCAGATAATAATCACTACAGGGGACAGTTTGTACAACCTCTTCTTTCTGGGGGGGATCTTTTTTTTTTATCTTTCTTTTATCTTTTTTTATATCCCTTTTTTTTTTCTATATATACACAACTTTTTCAAAACATGATTGCCAACAAATTTCTCGCAGACTTGGAGCAAGCAAAGTTGTGGCAAAAAGAAAAAAGTGGCATCCAAAAAAAACATAAAACTGGCAAAGGTAATAAATATTCACATTGGCCCATTTGTTACAGAATTTCGTGTTTTGCCTGGAGTTCCCCCATTTCTTGCTAAATGCCAAAAGTTCAGGACCCCTATCTGCTCCACTACTACTGCTCTTCTTGCATCTACTACAGGCAGGACTAGGGAGAGGTCAGGAAGTATTGTACTGACATCTAGTGGAAGTAAATCATCACTACGTGTGTGTATTTGAATGCCCTGCAATACAACTGCGTGGGATTGCCATTAACCACTTGCCCCCCAGAAGATTTACCCCCCCTCCTGACTGACCAGGCCATTGTTTGCGATATGGCCAGGGGCGGACTGACAACTCATGGGGCCCCCAGGCAATAGGGGATCATGGGGCCCCTGTGTCCTTGCCCAAACTCCAAAAAGCCTATGAAAAAGGTACCAGGGGCATCTCATGGGGCCCCCTACTGACCCCAGGCCCTCAGGCAGTGCCCGAGTTTCCAGATGGTCAGTCCGCCCCTGGATACGGCACTGCATTACTTTAACTGACAATTGCACGGTCATGCAACATTGCACCCAAATTAAATTTACATCCTTTTTCCCCACAATTGGAGCTGTCTTTCGGTGGTATTTCATGACTTGTGCGTTTTGGGGTTTTTGAGTAAAAAACAACAATTTTGAGCAAAAAAAATTATTTTTCACTTTTTGCTATTAAACGTCCAGATAAAAAATTTTAAAAATCAAATTTCATCATAAATTTAGGCCAAAATGTATTCTGCTCCATGTCTTTGCTAAAAAAAAAAATCCGAATACGTGTAAATTAATTGGTTTACGTGAAAGTTATAGCGTTTACAAAGAATATAGATACTGGAATTTTTTTTTTTCTACTAGTAATGGTGGCGGTCAGCGATTTATAGTGGGACTGCAGCAGGCATTCTGACACTGGGGGGAACTCATTTGGTGTCACTGACATCCCCAGTGACACCAATACAGTGATCAGTGCTAATAAAAAGCACGGACACTGTACTAATGGTACTGGGCAGGAAGGGGCAATCAAAGGGTTAACTGTGTGCTCTTTTACTAAGTGGGCTGTGTGTGTTTCACTGTAAGCACACTGCTTTGTGTGGCTCTGCTATGCAGTGTGCAGGAGCTGACAGGGGAGAGATCTGTGCCTGTTTATACATACGTCTCTCCCCCATTGGAGATACTGGGTGCCGGTGAGTAATCACCGTCCGGGACACGGGACAGAGAGGCCGCAAATGGCGGAACTGCAAAATCACATATATATATACACACGTGATTGTGTGCACCCGAGCCGCCCTGTAGCAGTATTTCTGCTATAGGGCGGTGCAGAACCAGTTAAGGGCTCATTCCCACCAACAGGTGCATGCACTCTGACATTTGTTGTGCTGCTCTGTGCTTTGATGCATTGTTAAAGATGAATTCAATGCATGGATTTTTATAGCCTAGTTTCCTTTGGTACAGCCTGTACAATGTATGTATGTATATTTCATATCTGTGGGATCCCCACAGAAGCAGATAATCAGCCTAGCAGTCTCTGCTGCTACAGTTATTGCCGTTATCTTTCAGATTCTGTGGTGAGTGGCTGTCCTGTTGCATAAAAACCACAGGTCATCCTCTCAGCATGGGTGTGATTACAGAATGCCTTGCATATTTCTCATTAAATTCAAGGTGTTCTCTGATTGGACTAGGGGGAGGTAATGATGTCACTACCCCAACTCTCCTACGCCTGCAATCAGACAATACAGTTGCAAGAAAAAGTATGTGAACCCCTTGGGATTACGTGGAGTTTTGCATGAATTGGGCATAAAATGTGCTCTGAACATCATCTAAGTCACAACAATAGAAGAACACAGTCTGCTGAACATAATACTACACAAACATTAGATGTTGCCATGGTTTAATTGCACATAACATGTAAACATTCACAGTGCAGGGAGGAAAAAGTATGTGAGGCCCTAGCTTAATGACTTCTCCCAGAGCTAATTGGAGCAAGGAGTGAGCCAACCTTGACTCCAATCAGTGTGATGATATTGGATGTGTTGCTGACAGCTGTCCTGCCCTTAAAAAACACACACCTGTTTTGGGTTTACTAGTTTCAAGAAGCACTGTCTGATGTGAACCATGCCTCGCAGAAAAGAGCTCTCAGGAGACCTACGATCAAGAATTGTTGACTTGCATGAAGCTGGAAAGGGTTACAAAAGTATCTCCAAAAGCCTTGATGTTCATGTGTCCACGGTAAGACAGACTGTCTACAAATGGAGAAAGTTTAGCACTGTTGCTACTCTCCCTAGGCGTGGTCGTCCTGGAAAAATGACTGCAAGAGCACAGCGCAGAATTCTGCATGAGGTAAAGAAGAATCCCAGAGTGTCAGCTAAAGACCTACAGAAATCTCTGGCACATGCTAACATTTTTGTTGACACATCTACAATAAGGAAAACATTAAACAAGAATGGAGTACATGGGAGGACACCACGGAGGAAGCCATTGCTGTCCAAAAAGAATATTTGAGCACTTTTGAAGTTTGCAAAAGAGCACCTGGATGTTCCACAGCACTACTGGCAAAATATACTGTGGACAGATGAAACCAAGATTGAGTTGTTTGGGAAGAACACACAACACTATTTGTGGAGAAAAAAAGGCACAGCACACCAACATCAAAACCTCATCCCCACTGTAAAACATGGCGGAGGGAGCATCATGGTTTGGGGCTGCTTTGCTGCCTCAGGGCCTGGATGGATTGTTGTCATTGATGGGAAAATGAATTCCAGAGTTTATCAAGACATTTTGCAGGAAAACGTACGACCATCTGTCCGCCAACTGAAGCTCCGCAGAGGATGGGTAATGCAACAGGACAATGACCCAAAGGATACAAGTAATTCAACAAAACAATGGCTGCAACAGCACAGAATACGCCTTCTGGAGTGGCCCAGTCAGAGTCCTGACCTCAACCTGATTGAAATGCTGTGGCATGACCTTAAGAGAGCGATTCACACCAGACAGCCCAAGAATATTGCTACACTGAAACAGTTTTGTGAAGAGGAGTGGTCCAAAATGACTCCAGATCGTTGTGCAGGTCTGATCTGCAACTACAGGAAATGTTTGGTTGAGGTTATTGCTGCCAAAGGAGGGTCAACCAGTTATTAAGTCCAAAGGTTCACATACTTTTTCCTCCCTGCACTGTGAATGTTTACATGTTATGTGCAATTAAACCATGGCAACATCTAATGTTTGTGTAGTATTATGTTCAGCAGACTGTGTTCTTCTACTGTTGTGACTTAGATGACGATCAGAGCACATTTTATGCCCATTTCATGCAAAACTCCACGTAATCCCAAGGGGTTCACATACTTTTTCTTGCAACTGTAGCTTCCATATTTCTCACTAAACACAAGGCATTTTATGATTGGAGCAGGGGGAGATCATGACATCACTGCCCTGATTCTCCACCTCATCCAATCAGCAAATACCTTGCATATGTTTCAATAAACGCAAGTCATTTTCTGATTGGAGCAGGGGGAGACATCACTGCCCTGACTCCATCTCATCCAATCAGCAAATACCTTGTATATTTCTCAATAAATGCAAGGCATTCTCTGATTGGAGCAGGGAGAGATCATGACATCACTGCGTTGACTCTCCACCGCATCCAATGAGATAACACCTTGCATATTTCTCAATAAATGCAAGGCATTCTCTGATTAGAGCAGGGAGAGATCATGACATCACTGCCTTGACTCTCCACTGCATCCAATGAGATAATACCTTGCATATTTCTCAATAAATGCAAAGCATTCTCTGATTAGAGCAGGGGGAGATCATGACGTTACTGCCCTGTTGCTCCACCTCATCCAATTAGAGAATACCTTGCGTATCTCTCAATAAATGAAAAGCATTCTCTGACTGGAACAGAGGGAAGATTATGATGTCAACACCCCAACTTTCCACCTCCTCCAATCAGACAATACCTTACATTCATTAAGAAAAATGCAGAGCATTCTATAAATGTGCGTGTGAGTGGGCAACCCCCTGTGGTTACTATGCAGCAGGGCAGCTGCTCAGCACTGAACCCAGAAGACAGCGGCAATCACTGGGGTAGTGGAGGCTACTGGTGGTGATTCTCTGCCTACATGGGGATCCTACTGGCATGGTAAACGCATATTACATTTTTCCAAACTGGACCAATATAACTGCAAAAATATCCATATCCCGCAATTGGCTGTGAAGCACTTTGCAGTGCTTGATTTTATCACTGTTGTATGTAATTGTTATGCATCGCAGCACGTGAGGATGCATTACAGCATGCTGGAACAAAAATGCAACTCGTCCTCCTTTTCTCTGCACACAGCAAAGCAGCTCATTGGTGTCAACTGAAGCCCTAGAACAGGGGTAGGCAACCTGCGGCTCTCCAGCTGTTGCAGGACTACAAGTTCCATCATGCCTCTGCAAGTCATAGCTGTAACTGTCAGTTTTGTAATGTTGCAATGTCTCATGGGAAATGTAGTTCAACAGCTAGAGAGCCACAGGTTGCCTACTCCTGCCCTAGAACATAAGGCAAATTAAATTGTCTGGTTCTTGCATTGTAACCTAATGCAGCTGGGGTGAGCGAGCTCCTAAAGCAAGGGCCTCCAAACTATAACAAAGGACCAGTTTACTGCCCTTCAAACTTTAGGGGGGTCGGATTATTGCCAGTGGGAGGAACAGTGCCCCATCATTGGTGTCAGTGGGAGGAACAGTGCCCCGTCGCTGGTGTCAGTGGGAGGAACAGTGCCCCGTCGCTGGTGTCAGTGGGAGGAACAGTGCCCCGTCGCTGGTGTCAGTGGGAGGAACAGTGCCCCGTCGCTGGTGTCAGTGGGAGGAACAGTGCCCCGTCGCTGGTGTCAGTGGGAGGAACAGTGCCCCGTCGCTGGTGTCAGTGGGAGGAACAGTGCCCCGTCGCTGGTGTCAGTGGGAGGAACAGTGCCCCGTCGCTGGTGTCAGTGGGAGGAACAGTGCCCCGTCGCTGGTGTCAGTGGGATGAACAGTGCCCCGTCGCTGGTGTCAGTGGGATGAACAGTGCCCCGTCACTGGTGTCAGTGGGATGAACAGTGCCCCGTCACTGGTGTCAGTGGGATGAACAGTGCCCCGTCACTGGTGTCAGTGGGAAGAACAGTACCCTGTCGATGGTGTCAATGGGAGGAACAGTGCCCCATCGTTGGTGTCAGTGGGATATTTAGTTCCCCATTTCTGGTACCAGTGGGAGGAACAGTGCCCCGTCACTGGTGTCAGTGGGAGGAACATTGCCCCGTCGCTGGTGTCAGTGGGAGGAACAGTGCCCTGCCGTTGGGGTCTGTGGGAGGGACAGCGTCCCGTCGCTGGTGTCAGCGGGAGGAACAGCACCCCATCACAGGTGTCAGAGGGAGGGACAGTGCCCCATCATTGGTGTCAGTGGGAGGAAGAGCATCCCATCATTGATGTCAGTGGGAAGAATAGTGCCCCATCGTTTGTGTCTGTGGAAGGAATAGTGCTTCATGTCAATGGAAGGAAAAGTGCCCCAAGACCCAGATAAATGCAAGCAAAGGGCCACATCTAGCCCGTGGGCTGCAATTTGGAGACCCCTGCCCTAAAGGATATGTTCAATTACTGTGCATTTATTATTTTTTCCTGGAAGGCATTGCGCCCGTGATCAGAGGATCAGAGGTGCAATGTCAGGCTTCTGCACACAAGCCCTGCAGCTTTCAGCCTGTACCTCCATACCTGCTGTCAGTTTGAAAGATGCAAAGCTTGTGAATGAACCATGAGCTCGCTCATCAGTGCCCTCAGAGTTCATTCAGAACTACAAGCCATCTGCCACAGTGGCTGATGGTACATGTAGTTCATTCATTTACAGAAAATGAATTCTGGCAGCAGATGAGGGGAGAAGATTGCCCGCCCGCTGTAACACTGAGGGTGAATCGGGGGACGAGGCGGTAGGAGCTGGAACATGTTACATGTTCCACTCTAAATACGACTGGGACATGTAACATGTTGCCAAAGGTGAACTTATCCTTTAAAATGACTGGCACAGAAGAGTACCAACGCTACCAATGCAATGCAAAAATGATATGATAAAAATCACATGCATGATACAACTTAGGGCTCTTTCACGTGGACGTTCCAATCAGGTCCGCCTGCCCTTTTTTCAGGTTGACCCAATCGAAACCTCCATTCTCGTCTATGGACCGACGGGTATAAAAAGGACATGTGTTCGTGTACAACCGTCAACATCTGATCCGATCCACCAAAAAGGGAAGGATGGAGATCCAATTCCCCTTCTGTCCACCAGATCGAGTCAGAAAAACAGACATGTGTCCGTTTACACCCACCAACATCCGATCCGCCAAAAAGGGATAGATGGGGACCCAATTCCCCTTCCGTCCATCAGATCGGGTCGGATTAAAACGGACAGGTAGTCCGTTTTCATCTGACCGGCCATTGAGGAGAGCGAGCAGCTCTGTGTCTGCTCTGCAGCAGCAGCGGAGCGGACGCAGAGCTGTCATCCGCTTGCTCAACAGGGATCAGCAGAGAGATCCCCTCCTGAGCAAGCGGATCCGCTAAACGGATCTGCCCCGTGTGAAAGGGGCCTTACCTGTTTTCACCTTCTCTTCCCATGACTGTGTCTCTCCGGAACAGGTGTGGAGTGTGACCAGCACAGTGTAGAGTTCCCCATAATTCAGTCCACTTATATTCAGAGATGTTCCGGATACGTTGTCACTCCTGTGAATTCCCTTTGAAGATGTTATCTGTATGTTATAAATGTGGTTGTCAGGACAGTCAGCACTCCACTTAATGTGAAATCCGCTGGTAGTTACATTACTGACGCTGTGATTGAGAAAGGTGGAGCAGTCTGTAATGAAAAAGAAAAGAGTGCAAAGAATCAGAGTCTGCAATCCAAAGGACTGGCCATTAACCCACATGGAAGAAAATTATATTTGAAATATATTTTAAAAATATTCTTCCCAAATATATTGACATATATTTGAAATACTACAATTTTATTGTAATAAACCTAGATACCCTTAGACCACAAGGGTTAAACGCATTTCAACATGTAGTATGTGTATGTGTGTGTGTATATGTATATATATGTGTATGTGTGTGTATATGTATATATATGTGTATGTGTGTGTATATGTATATATATGTGTATGTGTGTGTATATGTATATATATGTGTATGTGTGTATATATGTATATGTTTTTATATATATATATATATATATATATGTATATATATGTAGAAACAGCAGTATAATGGTCTTCCCAGTGATTGGCTGTGCAGGGGGGCATGTCAGGACAAGCCTGATCATTGGAGGAGGGCTAGAGAGCTGACCACACTGTGCTCTCCTGCCTAATGTGGTCAGTTTTTAATAGGAAAGCAGAGAGACTGGCAGGAAGACCGGAAAATTCACACAAAGGAAGCAACACAAAGAGAACAGGACAGTATTTCATACAAGTACATGGTACAGCACTCACATATCGGGAATATGAAATGTTGGGTTTGCATATTCTTTAATGCAGATCTGTATTCAGGAATATATCCCTACAGTGGAACTAAACTCAAACAAGCAACAGTTTCTTATTCTGTCCCTTTTGCACAAATGCTAATTAAATGATTTCTAATTGTACCCATCAGTTGCTTTTTATGCTGAAAACCAGCACTTCCACTTTCTCAGCCTAGACCTGGGCCCTGCTGTCTCCTGCACTTGCTATATCACAGCTATCCCAGAAGACAATGGGTCACTAAGCTGCGACTTTGCGGTGCATGTGTGGCACATTTACGTGCATTCTCATAAATACCGCTGGGTGTAAGAAGCTGGTGGCATTTGCAAAAACCCATCACATATGACAGGTACAGCTCCAGTTTTTTCCACCTTCCAAAAGCCTGGAAGAGACCAGCAGATCCCTTTATGTGTATCTTACTTGTTCATTTAGCAGTTTGACCGGAGTACAGCTTTGCAATGATAAGTGTGCTTTCAAAAACGTTTATTACTTAGTTAAATGCTTTACCCATTTATGTTATAAAATGCTACTCACAACAGGGAGGAGTGCTAGGAGGCAACACAGCATGGTGGTTCGTAGATCCATTGGGAGGGGACAGACTTGGCCCAACATGGATACCTTGAAATGAAAAAACAATTTATAGTTTCAGAGAAATAATTACAGTAAAGTATGCTTGGACATGTTCAGTTGACACTGAAAGTGGGAACCTAGAGGTCACTTATTGGTGGGACTACATTGTACCACCATGGCAGCCCATGCAGTGAGTATGGGGATCAGGGCATGTGGTGCCTGGTGGCAGCTCTTGAAATGAGTAGTGGTGGGCTGAAGGCAGCTACCCTTAACATGTTGTTGGATCCAGGATCCAGTGATCGGTACCCATCACTCACTGTGTTCATTCATAACCTGGGGCGGACTGACAACTCATGGGGCTCCCGGGCAATAGGGGATCATGGGGCCCCTGTGTCCTTGCCCAAACTCAAAAAAGCCTATGAAAAAGGTAACAGGGGCATCTCATGGGGCCCCCTACTGACCCCAGGCCCTCGGGCAGTGCCTGAGTTTCCAAATGGTCAGTCCGCCCCTGTTCATAACTGAAACATAGTAAACTGTGCTTCAGTTCATGAATGAACAGGAGTTTCTGTCTCCTGTTCATTCATCTGCAGTACAACTGAGGCTGCAGAAAGGAACTGGGGAAAAAAGGGTCTGTTTAGACCTCTGATATCTCAACAAAGCTACCCCAACAGTATTGTTAAAAAAAAAAAAAATGGAAAAAAATATTTTTATAGATTGCAAATAAATTATTTTAAAAAACTGTAAAAAAAAATCAGACTAAAATTTCTAATCAGGCTAAAAATCTACTCCCCATATGTAGCATAATTTAGCCACACCCACTGTTTGCCATGGCATGCTACACACGCCACAGGTCACTATCTCTCTGGTAGGGGCCCCAGTGCATTACTCTGCTCAGAGGCCCATAATGGTATTAATATGCACTGCAATCGTCACAGTTTATCCTTTATTTTTTTTTTACTATTTTAAACTGTTGGAAGATCAGACCAGATTGGCTGCTATGGATTACTACACATTCCACTGCCTGATGAGGTCCAACATCCTTACCTGGTCCCGGTGGAGTAGGATGGGCAGAGTTTAGCTTGCAGTTGTAGGAACCCTCTGTATTGTTACAATCATGGAATGGTGGGCAAGCACCAAGCTCACGGTGGAGACATTCATCCAGATCTGAAAAGACAATACAAACCTTTATTTCTGTAGAACGTGGATCTTATTTAGGAAATCATGCAAAATAAATGCTACAATTTTGTACAATCTCGTTCAGATTTACTGTAACAACATCTAGAGTTTTTGAGCCTTCCTAAAGCTTCCATTCAATTTACATCCAATAGAACAGGACATTGCACTACACAGTTGTTGAGAATTCAAAAGAAAATTGTACAATCAGATTGCAAAGCTGTGTATTGATGATACTTATTTGCAAATGAATTAGTTACAGTCAGGGGCGGACTGACTACTCATGGGGCCCCTGGGCAATAGGGGATCATGAGGCCCCTGTGTCCTTGCCCAAACTCAAAAAAGCCTATGAAAAAGGTACCAGGGGCATCTCATGGGGCCCCCTACTGACCCTGGGCCCTCGGGCAGTGCCCGAGTTTCCAAATGGTCAGTCCACCCCTGGTTACAGTACTTTTGAACACAGGATTTTAAGGCGCCAATGAAAGTTTCACTCAAATAAATACATTTTCAATCCCAAAGGGGATAAACAAGTTCCCCTTGGAGAGAACTGTTAAAGTGGTTGTAAACTTCAGACATGAAATATGAACAAAGCATATTCCTGTAGTATGTACTTGTCTCAGTCCAGAGCACTAAGGCCCCATGTACACGGGACACGTCTTAACGATGGAAACTGACTGCTGGAAAACGTAGGTTAAAAAACGTCTGTTTAGCCACGTTTGCATATCGCATTTTTGTGTTTGCGTTTAGAAGTGTTGTTTTAAGATATCCTCAGGAGACCTTCCAAAATGCCCAGAATGCACTGAAAAACAGTACAAAATTAACTATTTCAGACATTGTGAGAGAAATAGAGAGAGCAGAAGCAGAAAGAGCAGTATTTGTTGAGATTAGTTTTTTTTGGGGTTTTTTTTTTGTGGTGTTTGGATGTGTTCCAGCTCATTTCTGTGCAGAAATTATTGCAGCAGCATCTAACATTTTTTTTTTTTCATGCAAAACCTCAAAGTATGGTGTGCTAGGTCAATTTGAGTACCGGGGAAAACGCTTTTCATGCATTTTTCGATGAAAAAAGGCTCAGGACAGCATCTGGAAATGGAAGAGTTAAAAAAAATGTTTCAAATGCCTCTAAACGCAGTTTTTACAAGTTTTGTGTTTGAAACGCTGATAAAATCAACTGCTGAACGCAAGTTTTCTGCGTTCAAAAAAAATTACTGTAAACTCAGCTGACTGTAAACGATTGTAAACGTCGATGTGTACATGGACACATAGGAAAACATTAGGGAGAGTTCAGGGGCTGCTGAAAAAAAAAAACGCTGAGAAGCTCCTAAACGTGAGTTTATCAGCTGCAGTGTACATGAGCCCTTATGTCTGCTGCCTCTTTTCTCTGCTATCAGCATGAGTCATTTCTGGCAAGTTCTCCTGACACCGAGAGAAAAAAATGTGACAGAGAAGAGAGCCTGTGATTGACAGCCTCGGCTCTGTTTCCTGTGTGCTGTGTAAAGGGGGGGGGTGTTCATTTTCTCTAATCAGCTCTCACTGAGCTCTGTGAAGTGTAACTTCAGTTCCCTGCCCCCTGCTTTCTGAAAGCTCAGACAAGCTGTATAAATTCTGCACTTTGAACTGATGTAGAGGAGAGAAGACTGCAGATACACAGGTACAACCTATGTAGGAGAATTTGTTCCATCTCTGTGTATCAGCTCACTTCACTGGGTATATAGAAGGGTTTACAACTTCTTTAATGATTGGGCTTCAGTAAAATTTTGAAAATTCATTCTTAAGTGATTATAAATGAGCAGTCTTATTTGTGAAAGATTTTTTCCTTTTTTTGCATTTATAAAGCTTGGCTCCGGGTTGGGTGGGCAGCTGCCCTCTCTCCCCTGGAGCAGCCCCTCTCACATTTCATTTATGTTTAATTTTTTGTATATTTAGCTTTTTTTAAGGGGACATCTCACCACTCAACTGCTGCTTGAGCTCTTCTCCGCACAGTGGTGGGGGGTATGGAATAATGTCATTCCCTCTGAGTTGTAGTGTGGGCGGCCTCTGTGTGGGGAGTGCTATAGTATTGGTGTACCACTGAGTCACTTCTCATGTTCTTCTTGGTTTTTGTTAGCCTCAGTGAAGCAGTAAGTGACCAATGTTTTGGCACTGGCACTGGGGGGATGCCAGCATTGGACTACTATGTCCTCTGCTATGGGCTCCCGACTCCATCTTGGGAAAGCCTGTGTCTTTTGTTGAGACAAATGATTTCAGCAATCATTCTGGGGTACAGATGTGCTATAAATAGCAAGATGTATCACCAAAGGGCCCAGGATGAAAAGTTCAAAGTAGGGGCAGGAACCCTTTTGGCAGTGATAGATAGGGACCAGGTTCTGCTTCATCCCATGGGTGGAACAGGTGGGGAACAAAGAGGATTAGGTACCCCTGAATTCAAAACTCCTGTGGGTAACTCATTAATCAAAGTGTGCTGCAAGACAATTTGGAAAGTTACATGCGTCTCCTTTGATGGAAAGTCCTTTAACCCTGAGAATCCATTTTAGAGGAACTGTAAGTATTCGCTAATATTCAGAACCTAAAATGGTTGTAAACCTTTAAAATTAAAAATGAAGAGAGCATATCCCTCTGCAGTATGTATGTTCTTCTATCCAAATCACTGAGTGTGATTTCTGTCTCCGCTCTCTCTCTTCTGGTATCTGCATAGTCATTTCTGACTCCGAAACCACAAAATCTTTGGAGACAGCCCTACCTCCTCCAGCACACCTATGGTGATAGAAAGCCTTAGCTGTGCATGTTTTCCTATGAGACTGTGTAGAAGGGAATGTGTCCTTTCCCTCCACTCAGGCCGCAGATTACACTTAGCTCTCCTCTCTGTACTGTGCAGTGTGTAATGTCAGATGCCCACCCCTTGGCTGCTGGAGCTAAGACAAAATCTTTGATCTGTGTGTTTAAGAAGGCTGTAGAGAATAGTGGGTTTCAGGCAGATAAACAGGTACAACTTACTGTATGTAGGAGGATTTGTTTCATCTTTGTGTTTCACCTGAAGCTATACACATCACTGGGTACATGTAAAGGAGACATCCCATGGTCATTTCCATTACTCTGTATAATATTGTAGATCTGAGGCCAAACCTGTGGTACCTGTACTGTTCTTAAAGTATCTTGACTGCCTGGAAGGTTGAACTGGAAGGCTTCTATATTTGATGTTTTGTATATTCTGGATTTCTTGATAAAAAGGTTTTGGAAAAAGAACTGCCATCCTGTACATGGTCTACTTCAAAATATACATGCTAATGTCGACTGCTCTGCTGGATCACTGCAAGGCCAGGATCTACACTGAACTAGTAAAAGGTTAGAAAATGACAGTCAATACATTTCAGTAAAATATTTTTCAACAGATTACCGTCTATCTGAACATTAATCACTTCTGGTAAGCGAATCGCAATATTGCTGAATGATGTTGCAATGTCCTGCAGCCGTACTGACTCATTTATTCCAATAAGAATGCAAGATACGATGGTGACGGGCCCGGAAGGCTGAGTGGAGATATGGTACACGACTGCTTCCATCGGCCACAATTCTCCAGTGACCTTGAGAGAAATGGAAATTGTTTTTTACTACATATACATCTTCCATCATACTCCACTATTCACAAGAGTCCCTACAAGTCTTGCCAGGTGTAAAGTAAAGATAGACAAACAAAAGGTCCAAAGCCAAATAACCAAACCTGCAAGTATACATAAAAGTAGACCAACAAGAAAAGGCCCACAACAACAAGTACTGAAAACCAGCCAGGCTGATAGACTTAGGAACCTGGTCATGTGACTATTGTTCCTGTGAGACAGCCATTCTCAACCACGGTTCTGTGGAAAACTAGGGTTGCTTCAGAGTTTGCTAGGGGTTCCTTAAGCTGTGGCTGATTTACCTCCTATCTGATGGTACTAGAATAGTTCCAGGGTCAATGCCATTTGGAAGAGCAAGCTGCATGAACCTAATGAACTTTTTAGCTGTCTGCATAGGTGACATTCGTATTGGCCCCCACTGTACAGGGGACCTTCTTGCCACTAGCCACCAATGTAAGGGCAGTCTTCCCACCGATGTAAGGAGCATTTTTCCCACTGACCACTAATGTAAGCAGCATTTCTCCCACTGACCACTAATGTAAGCGGCATTTCTCCCACTGACCACTAATGTAAGCGGCATTTCTCCCACTGACCACTAATGTAAGCGGCATTTCTCCCACTGACCACTAATGTAAGCAGCATTTCTCCCACTGGCCACCAATGTAAGGAACATTATTCCTGCTGATCACCAATGAAAGGGGCTTTTTCCCCACTGACCATCAATGTAAGGAGCATTCTTCCCATTGGCCACCAATGTAAGGACCACTCTTTTCACTGACCACCAATGAAAGCATTCTTAACACTGACCACCAATGTAAGGGGCTTTTCTTCCACTGGCCACCAATGTAAGGGGCTTTTTTCTCAATTTTCCTTTATTAAAAGTCTTGCAATCAATAAACATAAAATCAATATACAGACTATACAAAAATAAATAATTATATACATATTTACACAAAAATGAAAATAAATATAGCAAAATCTGCTGTCAGACAAAAGCAAAACTCTCAGAAATGAACATGTCATTACTGGGAGAAAATAAATCTTACTAAGGCTCACATCACTACACCAGACATCAAACCTGCGAGGTCAAGAAACAACCCCACATCCATTATGCATGCGGCCCTTCTTCAAAAATAAGATTTTAACCAACAAAAACTAAGGGAGTGAAAAGAACAACATAAGAAAAGAGCCCCTCACCCATAGATGGACAGTTCACCAAAGGCAGGTCTGATATTCTTCCATGCCCTTATCTAGACCACCTGAGGCTCCCTGCCCTTCTAAAGACCCTGAATCTTCCCAATCTCACCCAGAATATCATGCATCACCACCGCAACATGGAGGACTTTGTTCCACAGGGCAGGGGCGGACTGACAACTCATGGGGCCCCCGGGCAATAGAGGATCATGGGGCCCCTGTGTCCTTGCCCAAACTCAAAAAAGCCTATGAAAAAGGTACCAGGGGCATCTCATGGGGCCCCCTACTGACCCCAGGCCCTCGGGCAGTGCCCGAGTTTCCAAATGGTCAGTCCGCCCCTGCCACAGGGTAATCTGACACTGCATTCTAGGTGGCTTAACAAACAACTATACTAACTAGAAAAAGTGTATCCAAATCAAAATCCCAGCGAGCTGGGAATGCGCTGTACACCCACTCTGCATAACTCATGCAATAGAGAAAGGGGATGCCCAGAACCCTCCCCACCCTTTTATACACCTCTATGTTAAAGGGACACTGGAGCTGAAAGTGGTCCACAGACTCCACTTTGCCAATACACTCCACTCTAGGACAATCCCAATCATCCACAGGGCGATGCTTCAGGTTCCCTCTCACATAGAGCCTTCCATGGAAAGGAAGCCAGGCTTGATCCCTAAACTTCAAATGGATTCTCTCTAAATTAAATTAAATAAAAGCAACCCCTCCTTCATTATGGAACCTGGGCAGTCCTTTAAGGACAGAGACACAGGGACATCTGAAGGGTCATCAGAGAAGGCAAACCTATCTGCCCTCAGGGGAGACTTAATCTGCTAGATGAAGGTCAGGGTGCCATGTTCACTCTCAAACCTCTGGCTGGTTGCCGCTGACAACTCCACAGCCTGACATGGGGGGAGAGATGCTGAGGTAGATGGATCTAGGTCATCCATTACCTGAGGCTGCTGACCCACAGGACTTACTGATGTCTAGCTGGCAAATTTCCTCTTGTTGTCAAACTTTTATGTAAAAGCTCCACTTCTTGCTTCTGGATTTTCCAATAATAAAGATGGCTTATTCACCTTTTCCTTCATTTGCTGTAGCTCTGGCTTCATGACCAATCAAATTTTACTCCAGGCCTGGCAGTATTTGGCTCGGAAAGATTTGTGCTCAGCTTTTAAAAGTTTTTCCTCAACTCTTCCAATAGCCAAGAATTGATCAATAAACTTCTATCTGAAGGCGTCCACATCCTCACCAGGGCCTGGACCTACAGTCAGGTCCTCCATCATCTCCTCCTCACTAGTCCCTGTGTCATCAGGGGGATCTCTCCCAGGGCCTCCCTCTGGATTAGGCATGGTTCCTGGGCCAAGCTAGCAGGCAAGGCCCAGGCTTGAAAATGCTACTTCTCAGGGAGAGCTCCTGCAGTATGTTCTCCTCCTTCTCCCACTGACCATCAATGTAAGGAGCATTCTCCCCACTGGCTACCAAAGTAAGGAGAATTTTTTGCACAGAGCACCAATGTAAGGATTTTTTTTGCCCACTGACCGCCAATGTAAGGAACATTCTTCCCACTGACCACCAATGTAAGGTACTTTTTCCCCACTAGCCATCAAGGGGTGTTTTTTTTTACTGGCCACCAAAGTAAGGGACATTCTCTCCACTGACCACCAATGTAGGAAGCATTCTCCCCACTGTCCACCTGGGTAATGAGCATTTTTCCCACTGACCACCAATTTAGGGGTCATTCTTCCCATTGACCACCAATTTAAGGGGCATTCTTCCCACTGACCACCAATGTAAGGAGCATTCTTCCCACTGACCACCAATGTAAGGAGCCTTCTCCCCACTGGCCAACAGGGAAATGAGCATTTTTCCCACTGACCACCAATTTAGGGGTCATTCTTCCCATTGACCACCAATTTAAGGGGTATTCTTCCCACTGACCACCAATGTAAGGAGCATTCTTCTCACTGACCACCAATGTAAGGAGCATTCTTCCCACTGACAACCAATGTAAGGAGCATTCTTCCCACTGGCCACCAATGTAAGAGTTATTCTTTCCACCAACCACCAAGAGAAACTGTTAGGTTTCTCTCATTCAGACCACTGAGTGTATGGCTAGGTTTAGACCTCACATAAAGGTAAACCCAACTGAATATTGATGATATGCATTTATAAAGCCCAACTCCACGTTGGGTGGGCAGCCCTCATCCCTTCCCTGGAGCTCCCCTCCTGCATTTAATTTTTTAGAGAGAATTAAGTATGCTTTACCAGGGATATTGTGGCTGACCATGTGACAAATAAGGTCCTCTTCTCTTTTTGTCCAAAGGTGAGCGATACTGAATAAGTGCCATTCTCTGCAGGTTTTATTTAAGAACCCTATCAGGATGGTTAATTAGGTGGCAAGTTAATGGAGGGGGGTGGCGGATATAAGCAACTTCAATAGGGAATATCCATTATTTACCTCATTCGTGGTCTGAGGTCCACATGCAGATCAGGGAGAAGAGTAATTTAGCAGCTCAATATATCTTGCATGATCAGCAAGTATTTTTTTTACATTTATGTAACTGATATAACAAAACAATTTAACCACTTGCCTACCAGGCACTTATACCCCCTTATTTACCAGGCCAATTTTCAGCTTTCAGCGCTGCCGCAATTTGATTGACAATTGCACGGTCATGCAACATTGTACCCATATGAAATTTTGATCATTTTTTTCTCACAAATAGAGCTTTCTTTTGGTGGTATTTAATCGCTGCTGGGCACTTTACTTTTTGCGCTATAAATAAAAAAGTGCAAAACATTTGAAAAAAAAAAAAAAAGTTTCTTTGTTTCTATTATAAAATTTTTCAAACAGGCATTTTTTCTCCTTCACTGATGTGCGTTGATGAGGCAGCACTGATGGGCACTGATAGGCGGCACTGATAGGCAGCACTAAAGGGCACTGATAGGCAGTACTAATGAGGTGGCACGGATAGGCGGCACTGATAGACAGCACTAATGAGGTGTCACGGATAGGCGGCACTAATATGCAGCACTGATAGGCGGCACTGATAGGTGACACTGATGATGGGTACTGATAGACGGCACTGACTGGCATCACTGCTGGGCACTGACTGGCGGCACTGATTGGCACAACCCCTGGGCACTGACTGGTGGCACTGACTGGCAGCACTGCTGGGCTGCACTGGTGGGTGGCACTGGTGGGCAGCACTGGTGGGTGGGCACAGGTGGTTGGCACAGGTGGGTGGCACTAGTGGGCACAGGTGGGTGGGCACAGGTGGGTGGCACTGCTGGGCACATGTAGGTGGCACTTCTGGGCACAGGTAGGTGGCACTGCAGAGTGGCACAGGTGGGTGCACTGCTGGGCACAGGTGGGCGGAGCTAGTGGGCGCACTACTGGGCACAGGTGGGCAGAACTTGCGGGTGGCACTGCTGGGCACCGATCATCAGGGCACTGATCATCAGTGCCCTGATGATCGGTGCCGATCCCCGCTCTGACAACTGCCGGTTCTCGGCAGTACTTTCCTCACGATCTGACAGCGTGAGGAAAGTGCAGCCGAGAACCGGCACTTGCATTTCCCTCTGATCAGCGTGTCATTGGACACCGCTGATCACGTGGTAAAAGGCCGCTGTGATTGGCCTTTTACCACATCACGTGATCAGCTGTGTCCGTAGGACACAGCAATCACGGAGATCGCCGGGTGCGCGCCCCCCTGGGGCGCGCAGGAGAGCGCGTTCTGGGAGGACGTCATATGACGTCCACTCAGAACTGGACCGGCCGCAGTGAAGCCGTCATTCGGCTATCTGCGGTCGGCAGGTAGTTAAATTGTAAATTTTCTAAAAACAAAAGGAGAAAAAAAATGTTTATTATTAGAGTGTACATATCCTTTAAATGTATAGAATCTCACACAGCAGCTGATGTTGGCAGTGGTACTTACCATTGCATGCAGTAGCCTCGTGTGATTAGCATAGCCCGGGTCCAGCTGTACCAGTTCAAAATATTTCATTTTTATAGTGATGGTTCCATTGTACCAAAATTTGATTGTGTTCCGATCCAGAGCTGAAGGAGATAAAATAAAGGAGATCAGCGCTCTGTGCGGGGGGGCTGAGAACTTGCAATGCAAACCTCTTCGTCCAGCTGTTCTCTGTATTCCTTGCTCTGCATACTGTATTTCTGGTGTTATGGTACACAGTAAAGGAAACCTGCTCTGGAAGCAATATGGAGGCTGCCATTGGCTGTTTCTGGTTTCAGTACTTTGGGACACCATCCCAGAACAAGCATACAGATTAGGAAAATCAGAATGAGATCACATCTCCTAATTAGCTCACTTTTTAATTATTTATTATTTATTTCAGGTACTTATATAGTGCTGTCAATTTACGCAGCACTTTACATATATATTGTACATTCACATCAGTCCCTAACCCTCAAGGGGTGTACAATCTACAGTCCCTAACTTACATTCATACATACACATACTGGGGACAATTTAGACAGGATCCAATTAACCTACCAGTATTTCTTTGGAGGTGGGAGGAAACCCACGCAGGCACAGGGAGAACATGCAAACTCCAGGCAGGTGGTGCCATGGCTGGGATTCGAACCAACGACCCTAGTACTGCCAGGCAGAAGTGCTAACCATTTAGCCACTGTGCTGCCCCAGTGCCTTTTTTCCAAGCCACTTATTGCTAGAGCCATTAGATTGGCATGACAGTCTGGGAAGAAGTATTTCCAAGAGAGTTCGAAAGTGGCAGCTTTCATACTTCCTTGCAAACATCTTTGAAATGCGCATAGCATCCACAAGGGAATGGAGCGCCAATGCTTTTCAAGGGCACGTCTGTTTCTCAAGTCTCGTTGAAACCACATCAGGGTTATGTGAGTGTAATTCTTGGCTTTTATGATTCCTTATTAAAGTGTTACTAAACCCACAACAGTGCAATCAGTCTGTATATGCAGAAAAGCATGCTTGTTATACTCACTGTGGAACCTAAGGGGTTAATCCTCTGCATTGTGTAAAATGCTGTTTGATCCTGACTTCTCTGACCCTCCTCTTCTTCCAGTGTCTGCCTATTATCTCCTGATAAGACATATCATGTGGAGACACTCTGCACAGGCTCAGTTTGGTGTGTATTGTTAGAGAGGTTTGTTTGTTCTTTCTTGGGAGAGTGCATGGTATCAACAGAGAGCCAATCAGCACTGTCCAGACAGAGGGTCAGGGGTTCTGCATCCTCCTAGAGCAGAAAGAAAACTCCTACAAGCTTTAACCGGTGCTCTGCTGGACACTGATAGAAGTCACAAGACTGCTATATACTGCTGATGAGAAAAGATATTTAGCAGTTTATATTTACTAAAATAATTGCATTTCCATGTAGTGTGTACTGTGGGAGACCGGATATAGTGAATGCAGGGTCCGGGGAGACCGGATATAGTGAATGCAGGGTCCGGGGAGACCGGATATAGTGAATGCAGGGTCCGGGGAGACCGGATATAGTGAATGCAGGGTCCGGGGAGACCAGAGATAGTGAATGCAGGGTCCGGGGAGACCAGATATAGTGAATGCAGGGTCCGGGGAGACCGGATATAGTGAATGCAGTGTCCGGGGAGACCAGATGTAGTGAATGCAGGGTCCGGGGAGACCGGATATAGTGAATGCAGGGTCGGGGAGACCAGATATAGTGAATGCAGGGTCCGGGGAGACCAGATATAGTGAATGCAGGGTCCGGGGAGACCAGATATAGTGAATGCAGTGTCCGGGGAGACCAGATATAGTGAATGCAGGGTCCGGGGAGACCAATGTAGTGAATGCAGGGTCCTGGGAGACCGGCTATAGTGAATGCAGGGTCCTGGGAGACCAGATATAGTGAATGCAGGGTCCGGGGAGACCGTATATAGTGAATGCAGGGTCCGGGGTTTAGTAATACTTCACATAAAAGGTTTTATTGTGCTAGTGGTGCGCTTTCCTGTCTTTTTTTCTCTCGTGTCTCCCAAATGTACACCCAAGCCTTTCTATGCCCTTCTAGACCCATCTTGCAGTACGAAACAACATTTATTATTCTCAGTGACACAGTCACCAGGCTTGTAAAATTATTGCAATAATTATCCTCGGAGGTCAGTTCATACTGACATAGGCACACCTCCAAAACTACATCTCCCAATAGCTTTTCCTCTACAAACAGGGTCTTCGGAGTCAATGCAGCAGCACTGGTTTGCTGCCAAAGAAATTTATGCATGCATGTGGGGACAGAGATGAATGTGGGGGTGAGGGGAGCTCTGCCGTCTCCCAGGCAGGCTGACAATGTTGCTTGGGATATTCAAAGCAGCATAGTGTTGTCAGCCCAAACAGGAAGTTGGGAGCTCATTCGATTTCTGGCAGATTAACCAGGCTTTTTCTGTATTTGCAGCATTTTACGGTGATAAAACATTGATAATGTACATGAACTTCAGAGATTTTCTGGGTGTTTTCAGTTAAAAGTTGACCTCCAGCCTTTCCTTCAGTCTTACAGAGTCCTGTATTGATATTGCTTTCTCTGATTCTACTGCACACTGTGAGCTTCTCACAATGTTCTCTGGAAGCTGTAGCAAGCCAGACAGAGCCCACCTCAATTTCTGTCCAACACACATCCAGCATCAACTTGCATTTTACCCCCCCAGCCTGACTGCCCCTTTCAATCACAGAGCCTCAGCATATTATATGGGTGTTACCTAGGGCCTGCTAAGGAACACCATCTCCTCCAGATTGACATTTATACATCAAGACAATTTAGTCTTTGCATAGCTTCTTACGAGAGACACTTCACTGCCTACATCAGGGCTCAGGGCTCTTGAGAGGAGTACTGAGGAAAGGAGCTGTAATGTTTTCCGGAAGCTATGTACAGCACCTTGCTGGCCCCTCCCACCAGCCATATTCTGCCATCATTGAAGAGAGAAACAGAGAGACATAGTGATGATGTCACTAAGTCTTCAATATGGTATGTAATAAAAATGGAACATTCATATTTAAAAGTTTCATTGGCTTGTTGATGAGGGGAGAGAGAAGAACTAGGAGAGGCAAAAAATAGGAAAATAAAACCTCAGCTTTGATTGGGTTTTACTGACTGTCTATATTGACTTCTTGTTATAAATATAGTTTGATCAGAGTTCACTATTAAGAGCTGACCTGGAGGTTCAGGAGACATGCAAAAAGATCCAGTGGAAGTCTCTCACAACATTTCAGGAATCCAGAACAGTCATAATCGCTGTGCACTCGGGACATATTAGCCCCTCATCTATTTCGGCAGGGCAGACACCGGGCCTGGAGGTGATTAAACTTCGGACTTTTTGGAGCTGTAACATAGAAATTCAGATCTTAAAATGTGAAACCCAGTCAAAGATCTTTATTAAAAAAATATTAAGGAAAGAACGTAATATAGCTTACACATGGCGCAATAATGGCCCACAAGCTCGTACCCTTCGCAGCAATCATTAATGGTCATGGTGTCAGGCACCCATATTGTCCGATTACTCTGTCACATAATAAGTCTTGGAACACAACTTCCATGGAATCCATCCCATACACAGGGATTTCTCAACACGTGGCTTCTGGAAAGGGACCACTTTGGAGACGTTTTGAGTCACTGTCCGTTCACAGACATGATAACTTACAGGGGAGACCATGTTGCCTGTAAGGAGAGAAGAATTTAAGGGAAATGTTTAAAATTGATTTGTATGAGGATAAAAAAGAACACAGATTAAAGCGAAATCCCACTCAAGGTTCTCTTTAGTTGGACGGAGTAGTAGGATAGGGTCAAAGCCTCAGTGGTCTGTGTCCCTACTGGGGGAGATTCATCCTAACTTCCTGCCAGAAAACACCACAAAGGAAAGTGGGAACAATTGTTCTGGGACAGCCCTTTAATATTACTTTTTTAAAAGTGTAAAAGTTTTTTAAACACTTTCTTGCATAGATATATAAAATGCTTGTTTACAAAATATATATTTATAACAAAGCTTCTCATGACACTTGTGTCACAGAGCATTATGGGGTTTTTTTTTATAAAATATTTATTAATTTTCAACCAAATACAAATCACAATCACCTTCTTCTATAAAAAAAACATCAAATCAATATATTTCCAATTGACATAATTTATCTATATCCCACTTCCCCTGCCCTCCCTCACCCCCCCCCCCCCCCGACTCCTTCATGGGGTTTTAACCAGGGGCAGACTGACAACTCATGGGGCTCCCGGGCAATAGGGGATCATGGGGCCCGTTGTCCTTGCCCAAACTCAAAAAAGCCTATGAAAAGGTACCAGGGGCATCTCATGGGGCCCCCTACTGACCCCGGGCCCTCGGGCAGTGCCCGAGTTTCCAAATGCTCAGTCCACACCTGGGTTTAACTACTTCCTACCAGGCCAATTCTGACACTTCTCTCCTGCATGTAAAAATCAGTACTTTTTAGCTAGAAAATTACTTAGAAACCCTAAAACATATATATATATATTTTAGCAGAGGCACTAGAGAATTAAAATTGGGTGTGGTTGCAATTTTTTTATGTAACATGGTATTTGCGCAGCAGTTTTTCAAACACAATTCTTTTGGAAAAAAATACACTTAATGAATTTTATTGCGCACCAACACCATATAATACCTATTTTTTTGTTAAAATATAAAAGATGATGTTACGCCAAGTAAGTAGATACCTAACATGTCACGCTTTAAATTATTTACCAGCAAAACACAAATGCCAAATCCCCCATGCTTGGGGATGGACTCTATGCAGGCTACAACCACAGTTTAAGAATGTCCTGGAACATGCCACACCTTGTTGCCCTCAATAGAAACAGGGAAATCCAAATATACTGAATGAGGAAAGAACAAACGGAGGGTGCACAGGCCTACTGCATTACCATAAAAAATGTTTAATAAGAAATAAAGTAGGTGTTTGTACTCACAAACGACAATAAAGTCAAGGCACGTCATAAAGAACAGCTGGGTCAACACCTCACTGAGTAACAGTCCGCAACAAGGGCGGACTGACCATTTGCGCAATTCGGGCACTGCCCGAGAGCCCGGGGTCAGTAGGGGGCCCCATGAAATGCCCCTGGTACCTTTTATAGGCTTTTTTTTTTGAGGACATAGGGGCCCGGTGATCCCCTATTGCCCGCGGGCCCCATGAGTTGTCAGTTCGCCCCTGGTCCGCAATAGGGAGTGTAGACATCCAATAGGTTGACACGTTTCGAGGACTTGCCTCTTCCTCAGAGCCATCTGACCAAAATGTCCGCTGCATCCTCTTTTATATCCTCACTTACTAGTTGATACCAAAGGTCACATAGGGCCGACGCTGGACACTCCCCTATGACAGGGGGAGGGGGTCACAGGGGCAATTGACATAGTACAGTGGTGGGCAACCTTTTTTTTCAACTGAGCCAAATCTCGCCAAAAACATGATTGAAATTTATTTTGAGAGCACCACATTTTTAAAACTGAAAAATACATCCCCCATAGTAATTCATCCCCCATATAGTAATTCACCCCCCATAGGGTGTAATTCATCCCCCATAGTAATTCATCCACCATATCAGTAATTCATCCCCCACATCGTAATTTCATCCCCCATAGTAATTCATCCCCCCTTATAGTAAAACTTCATCCTCCATTATATGCTAGATTCATCCCACCTTAGTAATTCAATCCCCCATTATTAGTGCTCTCGCGCTCTCCCATAGTTATTCATACCCCCAATATAGTTAATTCAATCCCACCATAGTAATTCATCCCCTTATTAGTAATTCTTCCCCCTTAGCAATTCATCCCCCGGTATCAGTATTTCATCCCTCGGTTATAGTATTTCACTCCCCCGTATAGTATTTCATCCCTCAATATAGTAATTTTCATCACTCATATAGTATTTCATCCCCCATATAGTTAATTCATCCCCTTCATATAGTAATTCATACCTCATTTATAGTATTCTTCATCCTCATATAGTATTTCATCCCACCCAATATTAGTATGTCTTCACTCCCTTATCGTAATTTCATCCCCTCATATAGTCTAATCGTCATCCCTCATATAGTATCTTTCATCCCTCATATAGTATTTCATCAGCCTCTATATTGAGTATTTTCATCCCTCATAGTAGTATTTCATCCATCATATAGTAATTCATCCCTCATACTAGTATTTCATCCTCATATATAGTAATCTTCCATCCCTTCCATATAGTATTTCATCCCTCATATTAGTATTTCATACCTTATTATAGTAATTTCATCCCTCATATATGTATTTCATCCTCTTCATATAGTTATTTCATCCCCCTCTATTAGTATATTCATTCCGTCATTATAGTATTTCATCCCTCAATTATAGTAATTCATCCCATATTAGTAATTCATCCTCTCATATAGTTAATTCATCCCTAATATAGTATTTCATTCCGCCCCATATAGGTATTTCATCCCCCCATATAGTATTTCCATCCCACCATATAGTAATTCATCCCTCATAAAGTAACTTCATCCCTCATATAGGTATTTCATCCCACACATATAGTATTTCATTCCCTATATAGTAATTCATCCCTCATATTAGTACTTTCATTCCCCTCTTATAGTATTTCTTCCCCCATATTTGTAATTCATCCCTCATTTAAAGTAATTCAATCCCTCAATATAGTATTTCATCCCTTCCACAGTACTATCCCCCACCCCCATTCTAGTATAGCCAAGTCCCCCCGTGTCAATTCACGTACCTTTTAGCGTTCTCTCTCGCTTGTATTACCCGCGCCGTTTCGGGTCTTTTTTTCCAAGGGGGGGAGGACTGTTGAGGAGGAGCCATAAGCTCCCTCTCCTCACGTTCGGGCCACGGCATGCCCCGTCTTAACACAATCCTGACAGCAACATCCGCGGGCGGGATTAAAAGGTTCGCTGCGGGACTTTTGGTTCAGGGCTGCCAACCGAGAGGAGGCACGGGGGGACGCGGTACCCGACCGAGAGTAGAGGCGGGAGGGAGCAGGCGCTCCGGTCCCAAACAGAAGAGCCGCATTAGAGTGGGTTAGAGGAGCCGCATTGTGTGGCTCGCGAGCGCCGGCTTGTCGATCACCTCCTGACATTAGTATAAGATAAAACACAAAAGATCTATTAACAAATATATAAATATTATATGTATAAATAACTATCACTGACAACTTGGTTGAACAATTCATTAAAATCATAAGAACCATAAGAAGTGTGCAAAAAAAAGGAAATTAAAAAATAAAAAAATTACTACACATAGTATTAGTTATAAATATATATTCTATCTATATATTTATAAAAAATCTCTCCCTGGTGATGCTACTGCATCGCTCGCATTTCATATAAATGGTATGGGAATGAACGACACTACGATGCTTGCCTAGTGCTCTGATAGCATAAGACAAACCAAGGGATGTGGGATTTAATGAATGAGTAGTAGACCTGGAACCCAGCTTGTGGACACTTTATTAATTTCACAGAAATGCAGCCCACAGGGTTGTGTGTACTATTATTCTATCTATAGTCATACGGTGATTAAACTTACGAATGTTGTTGGCAAATGCAGTGCCACCGAAGGATGGATGTACATATGTGATACTATCTACGGGGACAATGGAGTGATAAATCACTGGATATAACATAAATGTAAAACATTGCAAAAAAGCTTCTTAATATGGTTTGCCAAATTAGTGTAAAGTATACAAATATATGAAATGAAATAGTATTGTCTCAAATTATTACATATAATATCTGGTTAAAATTGGTATATAATGTATGGTTATAGAGTGTATATGCCATAAAACATGGAAAGCATTAAGAATTTATAAAATATGCGAAGAAAATAAATAAAAGAAATAATGTGGAAAGAAGAATATCTATAAGAGTTGTATATTTAAGAATTATACTGTACTGATGGCTATCAAAATGGTCTTATGGAACTAGCGACCGGCATGATGAGAATTAGCAGAGCCCAGAGAGAGCTCACTGGACATCACACACACGTGTGTGTGTAACCCGTCCATCTGAGTAACTGTTTTCTTGTTAAAAAACATGTATATGTATGATTGAAAACAATTTTCTCATCGTTGATGAGTAGAATGTTTTAAACGATAACAATATTGTGAACGAAAAAATCCATTGGAAAATAATACAACAGTGAAATAAATGTTGTCGTTTTGCATAACCAAACGACTGATTTTCTATGCGGTGTCGGGGTGGGTGGTGCGGGCGTACGAAAAAAATCTATCCAAGCGCTATCAGCTATCAAGCGGAAACAGTAGATGACCCGAGATGTTTATGTCCAAGGCAATCTTCGTATAACGAAACGAAAAATCCAAATTTTAAAAGTAGATTGTCCCTAATGAGATAATTAAAACAGAATTTCTGGCTATATATATTTTATGTATCATTTTTATGTTATATAGATCATGTATTAAACTTATATTATACTCATTGTGGTAATTTTGTTTTTAAAATCGTCGTTTGGTCAAAAAGGGCGGGGGCTGAAAGGTCAGACCCCAACCTGCATACTTCCATTTGGGTTCGGAAGAGTCAACACTACATATTCCCCACCCCCTACGGGAACGATTTTTTTTTAGATTTTTTAAAAAGTGGGCCACGATTTCGCCAACAAAACCAAAATTGTTTCTCGGTTTTCGAATGAC